ACACTATTGGGCCTTGCTTCCTGCAAAGTGCTCGACTCACCTTTTATTGAATTGTTCAGCTGTTTTGATAAGTGTTTCAGGCAAAGATGCGTCGTTGCTTTCGAAAATCTCACATTGTAAAAATTGCCACGAATGCTGAAACACCTTGCAATCAAAAAACAATAACGCGGGAAAGAAGTGAGGTATCAGCGATCTGTAGTAAGTAGTTTAAGCGGAAAGTTATGACGAATACAGTGTTGAAACATTTAAAAAGTTTGATTGGTAATTGAACCAACCTCATACTTTGACAGGCCTCTGCATACTGATCCACATTGAAAAAAATGCATAGCTTATTCCAGGAAGTGATAAACATTGTATCTTCTTTTGACTAATGGAATCGTCGAGAAGCATGAATAAGAATTAATAACAGCAGAGAATAAAAGGTGTACCTAGCATGCATGAATATTTTTGCAGAGAGTTATGCGAAGATGACAGTGCCAATTAGAGCATGAAAAGAACCATCACATTGGTTCCAAAAATACTAAGCAAGAAAACAACGTAGATTCGTTGCGGTTACTGATTCGATATCAATGTAGAAATGGAGGAACGTTTTAATACTCAGCTGAAGGTTACAGTATATTGTATGCCAAATATCAATTTACTGGTCCCAATAATGTTAGTACAAAAAAAGCATATTTTCAACAACATCTCATATAGGATTAATGATAAAATGTCCATCTAGCTTTATCACACATCCATTCTCATTGTTTATAAATCTTCACACCGTTTTCAAAAATACAAGTTGTTTCTTAATGACGTTCTCATATTCCAGGATACAAACATACATAAATACGCTCGCAATTGCTTCAATCTCCTACTACAGAGTGCTGAATTTTTAAGAATAGTTCGTTTTTATTTATTTATTTTTCCTTGGAAAGTACTTTGAATAATATTTTCAATTTGAGCGTATTATAAGGGGATGTAAAATGCATTTTTTAGTTACTCTATTGCGCTACGAGTGGCGTCCCTGCAAATATGTGTGATTATAATTTACAAATAAAAAGAAATGATACCTCATAACTATTAAAAAATATTCACTTCGAAAAATATCAGTGGTTACACTAGACTTCAAACACCTTCGAAGATATGAAATAAAAACATTTTTTTTTTGAAGATGCAACAACCTATGGCTAAACATTTGGTGGGGACATATGGTGATATCCACTTTTGTCGTAAAATTATTGAAGAAGTAATATTCGTAGTAGTAGTAGTAGAAAGATTTATTTAGCGCATTTGGCTACATAAACAGAATAACATAATTGTAAACAACTTAGAACTAGTAAATTCAAGCCATATGGTGTATGATGTAAATGCTGGGTAACGTATAATTGTAGATTTAACAAGTGATTTCTCAATTTTTATTTAAATTTTGTCAAAGTTTTCTGGTCTTTTATCTCTGAGTATAATTTATTATATTCAATCAACCCTTGATGGAATACAGATTTGTAGCATATGTTATACTTTTTGGTCATTAAATGGAAGTCATCTTTATTTCTGGTATTATGTAAATGATGGTCGACATTTGATGATGTTAAATTAGTTAGACTTGATGGAAATATATTATTTTTTACTTTATAAATGAATATCATTACAAGATATTTGATAAAATTTTTTACATTGAGCCATTTTAATTTGCTAAGCATTTGCCTAATTTGAGTATATTTATCTTTATTTAGTATTATTCTCATGCATTTGTTTTGTAAAATTTGCAGTCTTTTAAAAATGGAATTATTTGCTAAATATAGAATAGTCGAACAGTACAAGAAATTTGGAAGAAGTATTATAGATATTTTTTCTGCTATATGAACTCAGACATCCAGAAACTCTCGATAAATATCCCACTTGACTACTAATCTTATTTATAACTTTTTCATAATGAATATCAAAAATTAATCGAGAGGCAATAAAAACTCCCAGGTATTTAAAATTTTCTACGAATTCAATATCTTCACCATCAATATTCAGTTGAACATTTGTACAGTTTTTTTCTGATTAACAAGGCTTTCGTTTTACTTGTATTTAATTTTAGTCTGTTAGATGCTAACCATTTTGAGACAAGTTTCAAGTCTTCATTTATATAAGAGATCCCAGACTGAACATTTTTAGTACTTATATAAATCATAGTGTCATCGGCGAAAATCTGAATTTTGCATTTTCTGACTATGGCAAATCATTTATGTATAAAATAAAAAGAAGTGGTCCCAGGATACTGCCATGTGGAACACCCAACGAATTTTCAATTTTTTATGAAATAGTGTCATTAACTTTTGTAACTTGCATCCTTTTAGACAAATAATTTCTAAACCAATCTAAAACACTTCCTGTTATACCATATGCCTTCAATTTACCAAACAAAATATCTCTATCAATCGTTTCAAATGCCCTCTTCAAATCCAAAAATACTGCTATGGCAACTTCTTCTGAGTCTATGGCTCTTCTCCAATTCTCAGTTACCAACTGGAAAGCCGTTTCTGTGGAATATTTTTTTCGAAAGCCTGCTTGCGCCTCCACTAAAATTTTGTTTTCTTCTATAAACTGCATTAATTGGTCACGCACTATGGACTCTAATAATTTTTCAATGTCTCGTAACACATTTACTGGTCTCATATCGCTGCATCTTTTTGAATTTTTTATTTTGGGAACTGGTGTTATTGTAGAGCATTTCAAATCTTCAGGAAAAGAACTGCACGTTTTTAGTAGTGATTTCGGCACAGTTGTTATTTGATTTAAACTGTTCACTTTTTTCTTAGATAATTCAATGATACACTGTGAAATTTTGAAAGTGTATGCAACGTTTCCCCCTGGAAACTGATTTTCATATAGTCAGGTGCAGTATTAGCAGTACCCACAATATCAACAATACTTTCCACAAAATATTCATTTAGTTTGTCTGCAATCACCAAAGAATTTGTTTCGGTACCCTTTTCGAATTGAACTTGATTTACACAATCATGCGGCTTCGAATCGGTCAGTCTTTTTAAAGTCTTCCACAGCTTTACACTGTCGCACTTGTTATTATCGATTTGTGTGCTGGCACATCATTAAAGAAATATTATCAAAGGTGAATGATGGTTTCTGTATTGTACACAAATTCACTGAAAAGCGACTCAGTTCTAATAAAGAAGTGTTAGAGATAAAATTATGGTTAAGTAATAAAACAATTAATTAATTTTCATTATCGAATGCTTCGCTTTCCCGTTTCAGGTCATTGTGGAAATGATGCTATAAAAAAAGCAGACTACTCACCATCTGTTTGAAAAATAAAACTAAAGTATGTATCAGGAATTGTGTCACAGACTGACAATAAAAAAGTTTATTGCAAAATAAAACAAGAGCACTTGAGTATATTCTTCCACACTGCTGGTACCGCTATAATATAAAATAAAGAAATAGTAGTATAAGCTTGACGAGGCCATGGAGCCAGATAAAATCATTTGGATTGGCTTTTTTTTCGGTCGTATCGTATTTTATTATTGACCACCATGCACTAATGAGAAGCAGCTTTCAATAGATAAACATTGATTTCATTTAAAATTCTATCCTCCATTATGTCAAGTTGGCAGCTTTATGCTCCGTAATGTTTATTAAAAATGAGAAATGACTAATATTGTCATATACTTACCATTCCTGATTATTACAAAAAAAGCGATTTTAATTCTAGCAGAATGTAAACACAACCCAATAAACGTTACCAACTTATCTCTCTGCTTAACACCAGGCTACTAGATTCTTCCAAGTTAGTATGAAATGGCTCGTTGATTTACGCAGAGATTAGGGTATGCACTATGCAGTGAAAATACTTAAATATTATACAATCAAACGCACATACTTTGAGAAGGTCATTACTGATCTGGCACATTATACCCCTCAGCGATATGCTTCTCAAGATATAGAAGTGTTCGACAAATAATGTCTCACTTCCCAACCTAGATATGTCAGGTACTATTAAGATATATTCATAACATCTTGCTAAAGCGTGGAAGCTTTTACACTCCATTTTTTGGTTTCAATTTCTACACTGTCCTATTTCTAAGGGTCAGCTTGTTGAGTTACTTACACACAGTTCGGGTTTACCAAGAAGATGTGTGGTTTAAAACAGCAAATAAACGAATTAACGTAAGCTGATATGACGGAAAAAATGTTAAGTTGAAAACCGAGAAGGTAGAAATTTAATACTTACCTTGTTCTAGGATAATTTTGTACAGGGTGTTACTTAATGATAGGCCGTGATTACAAGGATGCTTTCCTAAACCAAATTTAAGTAGAAAAGTCCTAAAAAGCCTGATTCCTGTGTAAAATACCTACCCTTTGATAGAGCAAACTGTTGACGATAGGCAAAAATATGTACATAAGAAGAGAACAACATTCTCTAGTAACGATCAAACTAAATTTGATTTTCTTTTAACTATTTTCCGACATATAATGAAATTGTCATTTTTTCCTTGAAGGCGAAGTAAGATATCGAGAGACATCAGAAGACAAAAAAGGTGCATCATTAGCTGCTTAAACCGAAAAAAATCCATTCTATCAAAAGTCAGTGACGTACATTTTTTGACAATATTATTAGTCAGATTACCCTCCAGACGCCACTGGAATTCATAATTAGCTTCCAGTTAGAGCTAAATTAGCGTTTTATTGCAATGAACAACACTGCCAAATTCAACAAAATCGATACAGCGATATATGAGATATTAATAAAAACCATTTTTTCCTTATTCAAACTGACACCCAGTATTTTGGAAACCAGACTTTTCAGGACACATGTTTATATGCGCTTTTCTACTTAATCTTAGTTTAGGAATTCGTCCTTGTAATTTGTATCATTAAGTAGCACCCTGTATAATACATGTAAGAGAACTTTCTAAAACACTTTCTTTACGATGGATTTAGTTAGTTCAAAAGTGCAAGAACTTCCTGTATTATCTGCGGAATATAAGGGAGTAACCATTGAAAAACTTTCCGTTAGTACGGGAAAACTTATTATTAAAAAGACAATAAAAACGAATTAAAAATGCTCATACATCTCATATGGCAATCTCATAATGGCTTAAACTGAACATAAATTCTTTCAGTAGATGAAACACCAAATGCTTTTTTGTTGTAAGTCAACTTCTGTGGAGTTTCTGGTACCTGTTCTATTGAAAAGTTCAACATGATGTTTGAAAGACCGACCTTCAGATTTAGCAGGGCTAATCTTTCACCTGAAAATAACATGAAAGCACAATGAGTTGGACATGAACGAGTTAAATCTAGATTGCGTCATAACGGATGCAACGCTAATGGTGGTACCCCGCCAATTGATTTGCTGGCTGAAGACAGATGCGCTCTCCACGTATAAAAAGTGCGTCGCAGATAGAAGAGACGAAAGGTGCATGAATTAGAAGGCAGGTTCCCCATATTATCAAAGGAGCACTGCGGATAGATTATTATACTGTACAGTTTTTCATAGGGCATGGTTGTTGGAGTACGCGAACTGAGTTTACTGCAACGAAGAGGGGATGAGTGCAAGAAGCAGCAGGAATTGACGCTCGGCGAGAGGATCACGACTGACATTTTTGTCTGTCAAGTAGGCAAGGAAAAAATGGTTGACATTCTTCTAAGAGTGAGACAGATGTCGATGAGCAAGCTACAGTTAATAAAAAACACACCAAGGGAGCAGCAATAGGTTTCTACTTGCGAAGCTGTATATATTCTTAGGTTTACGTATGTATATTTTTGACATTAAGAAGAAGATAACTAACTACTCTTGGTATGAAAACTTAGCACAACGCTACCCACCCTGACGAAATTCCGCAAACCTTACCATGGTAGGATATATAACGAATGACTGAGGCCGGCATAACGATACTGTCGAGTTTTTCTGCCTAAGAGTGGTCTAAAAGCTTTCCCCTGTCAGTTCAGCGCATACAAGATGTTTCGAAACCTCTAGAAGACAGTGCCGATTTTGCCCCTGTCTGGAGAATACATTTTTCTACGGTTCTAAGATACTTTTGTACCGTTCTCATTAATTTTCTGTTATCACTGTACATTGCCCTAATGGAACCCCTACTCTACGCTAAAAATTGGCGTCAGGTTAGTTGACACTGCATTTTCTACGGAACGCTGTTATCAGTTATCAGAATTAAGGTCGGCACATTAAGCCCTTCTAAGGAAAAATTTAGTTACCAGCATGTATAACCAAAAAATCAAACGGATCAAGTTAGTCAAACAGGCTCATACAATTCAGATTTACATATTTATCATGTTTTTCTGCACAAGTTTGGGCCTCTTCAGAATTTGTCCCCCTGAGAAAATGTACTATCCCTCGCTCTACAAAAAGCTTTGGAGGCTGGTACGCTTCCTCATAAAGTTACCTCTTGCCGATGGATGACCCACCTTCTACTCCTGATAAAAATTCCTGCGGGCGCACGCGACGGATGTAAATATTTCTCCATCATTTTAAAGAGGAGGAATCTATGATGAACGAAATATGGCTAATAAGTGCCTAGAATTACCACGTCTGGAAGACGTCAAAAAAAATTAAATACAGCCCTTACATTTCAATCTTTACAGAGATTTATCTGAAACTAATCAGGAACCTCTGAAACTACAAATAGCTCCGCCGCCAAAAATTGTAGAGCAGGAAAGAATTCATCTCAGGACATTGCGGAACTGTTCTCAATGAGTATAAACCAACTCCGTGCAGTTACAGGGCTTCTAACATGACACAATGGCCTGAAAGAACACCGGAGGAAAATATGGTTGTGCGATGGACACCTTAGCGGCAGACAATGCGGAAAAAGACATCAACTCTTCGGGAAATCAAAACTAGAACCGAAGTAGCTGACAACAGTACCGGCAGGTAAACTGCACCAGTTGGGACAGAACACTAGACTGCTCGATTAAGTACTGCAAACAAGAGGAGCAAGATACAATAAGCCCTAGAAGCTGCAGTGCTATCGGGTACTTTGATGGGACGGCTCCCGGCAAGGATAAAAAAGACGTGCAAAATTTCTTGAAATCCCGACCGGTTCTTTCCAAGTTATTGCGCGGTCAATGATTAGCGGGCAGACAGACATATTGACGAAAATGAGTGACATGGTTTTTCGTGGAGCACAGGTCATATAACATCAAAAAATCATCGCCAGTGGCGTAGGAAGTAAAAGTTCTATCGTAGATAAGTATACTTACCTATGCATGCTCTGGGTCCCTCACCAAACGGAATATAATAAAGGCCACCTTCATTATGTTTATCTAGAAACCTATCGGGATCAAACTTATCAGGACTGGGAAAGTACTTCTTGTCAAAGTTATGGCCTAGGGTTGAAATTAGTATTCTTTCTCCTTGCTTAACTACATAATCTGTCCCTGGTATCTTATAGTCCATAGTACACATTCTGTCTATGTAGGGTAATGCCGGCCACATTCGCATTGTTTCTGGAAAAATGAAAAACTCCCGAATTTGAACAATATATTCGTTTTTCAGTCTGAATAACGCACTGTGACTAGGCAGAAGGAGCAAGCATACGATCTGATCCAAAATTAAGGTGTTAGTAGTCAGAACGCATGTGCATACTATAAGTTAGTCAGGCTTAAGCCATCGGTTTCACATTTCTTGACATCTCACATCAGATTTTTCTGAGAAAACGTAGAAATGTGTAGGGTTCCACACGGGTCTAGTGGTCCAGAGTATTGCCGAAAATGGTGAAGTTTTTTGTGGACTGCAAAAAGCAGCTTAAGCTGAATAAATGCGGATGTGTTTATAAAGAATATCCTTACGGTTAGGACTTTCGTTTATCGAGCTTATAGGTCACACACCCCAAAACCTTAAAATAACAAAGGTATTAAGCTCAGAAAAACTCCGAATAGGCCAGGCCGACTCTTCATTCTGTTTTGTGGTACGGTGTGAGTCAGTGTCCAAATCAGGCGCCGCGCGATATGTTAACCTAGCTTATCGGATTTAAAAAAACCGAAATTGACACCTTCCTATATGAATAACGAAGTTATAGATTTGATGATAGTTTATGGTGAGCGTCTTCAAGATTCTGTTGATTCAGTGCATTTAGATCGTTCAGATGTATCCGTCCCGAGCTGGGTAGGTTTGTTTACATCCCGCAAAGGCCGTCGGCGTCAAGGTGGATACAGAAGAAGATCTAGAAATCTTCAACTGTTGAAAATATAGTAAGAAGTCAACAAACTTGTGTTTTTGCAAATAAAGTGAGACGGTTGTATCTGAAACTAACGATCAAATTAATGGTGAGTACATTTTTCAATGTCTTTTTAACGTTTTTGCTGCACAGTAGCTTTGATATTTCAAACGTAGTTGCTTCTGAAAATAAAAGTCCCAACTTTCAGGGCACCCTGTATATTATATAGGCCTCGGCGTTGCGAAAGGGTATGCATCTTACCATTTGGCGTATACCTGTACTGATTGTGAGGTAATTTTGATTTATTTAATTCCACTTCTAGTATCTTCGAATGCTCAGTGACAATCTGAGAACAATTTTGTACCTAAGACAACATTGAAAAATGCAAGATATTGAAGACAAACTAAGATTTTGATGGATCCTGAAGGGCTAACCGAAACCTTAACTTTGACTCTTATATACTATCTTTTGAATCTATAAGTTTTTAGAGAAGGTCTCTATTTTCGCGTTATAATTAGTAATATGGCATTTTTTAATTTTAGTGGGACGAGATTCTGTCAGCAGGCCCCAAAAAATCTATGGACATCAAATCAATTAAATCACTCCTAAATTGTTTTTTTCCTTATGTAGTGAGAATGATATACTCGTAGCAGTAGTAATTTCCATACTATGCCCAACTAGGTATTTGCATTTAGCCAAGAATCTGCTCGGATCACAACTATGTATTTAGAAAAATCGATCTCAAGCAAGGTGTCTTACTATTCCCAATATCAGGTATTCCACTTTTGCTGCTGACTGGTGAACAAGCTTTGTACCGTTAATAAATATTCGTATCTCTGTCTTATGTATGTATTTATCCCTGTCCAATCGCTGAGAAATTCATATCGCAACACAGATATTATTTCTGCCTTGCTGTACGTAAGTAAAATACATCCGGTAGGATTAGTTACTCAAATATCCTTTCCAAAGAGAAAGAGTGTATACTTTATCTGAAGTCACTTGAAACACTGTGAAATACCGGGTGCGTTTTATATATCTATATTTAACACGCTCTGTTGCTGCAAAAATCGCCAAATTTCGCAGCAAATATCCCCCGTATAAGATCAAAGGCAGTTTCACCGGTCCACGTGGAGTAAAGCACGCCTATGCGTGGACATAGCTAATGAGAAAGCGTGTAGGTGGCTACTGAAAATTGAAACAGATTAGCCAGTGCCGTGTAGCGGTGAATAAACGTGTTTTCTTTAGTCTGTCCGTGTTTTTTCATAGATTTTATTAGTTTGTGTGTTTTTGACTTTTGAATACTCAGTTTACTTGTTGATTTAATTGTTGTGTTGATTGTTCTTGTGTGTCCTAAATATGGCTCTTTGGAGACCTTGCGAAAATGCTCCAAGCCACGAGGAGATGGTTGATGAACCTGTGCAGGTAGAATTCTCTCATAAAGATTTAGAGGAACAGACCCAAAGAGTAATCCTAAATATGTATGATTGTCTGAAAAACGAAAATCCAGATACCTCGCAAAATCAAATTTTAAACAGAATTTGTATCCTGACAAAAATCAGTCGGTCTATCATTTATCGGGTTATAAAAAGGCGAGATGTAGTCAACCATTCCTTCCACAGAAAGCGCATATTGCAAAAATTAAAAAGAATAGACGTGGGTTTTCAGGAAGATATTCGTCGTATAATATACGGATTTTATAAAGAAAATTTGGTGCCCACGTTGGAAATGATACGGGATAAATTAAAAGATTACCCTGAAGATTTTTATAATTACAAATGCTTAGACTCACTGCACTGTATTGTAAAACTGTGTGGTTTTCAATACAAAAAATTAGATAAAAGAATGGTGATTATGGAGTCGTCTCGAATCGTTGAATTGCGCCAAGAATTTTTGCACAAAGTTAAAATCTATAGAGAGCAGAAAAGAAATCTGATTTACCTGGATGAAACGTGGTATGATACCCATGATGTTGTGCAGTACGGCTGGGTTGACGACAGCAACAAGTGCATTTTAAATGCACCATGCAACCGTGGAAAACGAATCATTATTCTCCATGCTGGCAGTGAAAATGGATTTATACCTAATGCCTTGCTGTTATCTGCCAAAAATATCAAAGAATCATGTGCCGTCTATCATGAGGACATGACCTCCGACTTATTTGAAAAGTGGATAGAGCAGCAGTTAATACCAAACATTTCCCCAAATTCAGTGATTATTATGGACAATGCGCCATACCATTCCCGACAGAAAAACAAAATTCCGAATACGGGCACAAAAAAACAAGACATTATTGATTTTATGAAGGATAAGGGAATGGAAATACCACAAAAATCAACCAAAGCCATATTATTGGATCTTATTAAAAGACAAAAATTTGAAAAAGAGTATGTTGTTGACAATCTGCTTCAGCAAAATGGCCATGAAGTATTACGTCTACCTCCCTATTACTGCATTTTTAACCCGATTGAGTTGGTGTGGGCTGCTTAAAAAAAAAAGTAAGAAAACATAATCAGACCCCTCAATTAAGTGAATCGCTATTGGCCACAATACGAGATGCAGTATCTCATATTGCTGCCACAGACCTATGGAAGCAGTGTTCTAGGCATATTATTGAAAAAGAAAATTAATATTGTGTTTTGCCTCCTGTAAATCCCGTTGTAATTCCTCTACAAGATGACTCTAGCGACAGCTCCGAAGGCGAGGATGATATATACCTATAATGTAAGTCTTTATATACCTTTTTATATACCTACCTGCTATGTAAATATTTGCCTATGTCAAACGTTGCAATTCTGTAATTTTTCCATTTCTTAACTTTCAGTCAACATAAATTAAACTCCCAATATAAGTATTTTTTATCCCAAATCAAAAAAATAAGAAGATAGTAAAATCCATTTATTATGATATAAAAACATTATTATTATCGTTCTAAATAAATGACCGCACGCCTATGATACGTCATGAAATTACAAAGGACGCGCCGACCAAAGGTTTTTATGCTATTTCAAGTGACTTCAGATAAAGTATACACAAATGTATTGATTACGAAGCCATTCGTAGGGAAATTTACTCAAAAGTATGCACTAAGGCCTCTTTCCCTCCTTCTAACCTATTCGAATTCGTTGGTTCCACCTCATATCCTAATGTATGCTGGCGCATGGTCACAGGGTAATCTCAGTAATCCAAAAAATCTCAAAACATTCCGAACTTGCTGTTATTATTCTCGACCATTTGTATGTGGTTTTATCCTATCCTTTTGGGCGGCGTAAAATAATTATTATACGGTACTCAAGCTTCACTTACCGTTAAGAACCCTATCAATATAAGAGTATTTCTTATCTGTCAATGCTTCGTAGGTTATTCCACCATACTCCTCTGTCATATCCTGAATTACACTTCTCAAGTTGTCCTGAATATCTGAATTCATAGCTAAATGATATAATGCATGAGTTAAAGCACCAGTTGTTGTGGCATGCCCAGCAATGAAGAATTGAAAAGGTTGAGCTAATACCTTCATTCCCTCTGAAATAAAAAACACGCATTGTTATATTTGGATGTCAGTGTTGCGTCAGCTACTTGTCTGCAGTATTTGAATACTCACTGAAATCCCAATAATTTGAAAATTCTTCATTTTGTTGCAAATCCCTTATAATATCCACTAGATCATTGACCCTAACAGAACTCTGTTCTCTGGCTTCAAAAGCGTGCTTAATAGCTTGAACCGAGAAGTCTACCATTCGGCTGTCTCCAAATTTAAGTCGTAGTGTATTCACAAACTGATGTTGGAACTGGTAGCATAAAGATGTAAGTGCTACTTTCAAAGATGATCTCTGTCCTTTAATCAAAATATCTACGAACTCGGAGCCCGCATCTTCTAAGCCATGAATGTCCATGCCAAAAAATATCCTAGAATATATGCTGAGATCAATCCGAAATACAATATTCATAAACGTTTAGTTCATTGCAAAATATTCCACTTTTAAGATACATGATTTTGTGGTTTCTAAGGATCAGCTCCTACTAGCATTGTTTAATGTATTCTTCCATAAAATAGCCAACCATATGTCGTATTCCAGCGTACAAAAAGGATCTGAGAGGTACTAGTGCCAGCTATGAGATAGTAGCAGAAAACAAAAAAGAATTAAGACATCTACTTTGAAAACAGTTAGTGATTGGTTCTACTACTGCCTTATAGAAGACGGTAAGTTCCTCAATCTTCTCTTATGCATTGGCAGGCATTGATTAACTTGTTCCACCGGAATAACACCTGAAAGGGGTATTCAGGCAGGATACTTAAATCAATGTTACTAAGTATTCCAGTGCCATAACACTATATTCAATAATTGATTTTATATAATTACTTACCGACCGATGTTATCTGCAACATATCTAGCACTCATATCTTCTAGCTCAATGGGGCCTGGGGTAGCTTTGATGTATTCAGTTAGCTTAACACCGTTTTTAGTCAATATCGGAAACATAGCTTTCAGTCTTCCAGATGTGAATACTGATGTCAACTTTGACCTAGTCGCTTTCCACTCTTCTCCTTTCTAATGTAATAAGATGTTCTTATTACTCCCATGCATTTATGGAATTTATAATACATTAATTACAAGTGTAGACAGATTACCCAAAATTAAGTACTATTATTTCTCGCAGAAGGAAATAAAAATATAGGTATTTGGATTACATGTGAAAAATTGCACTTCAGCTTGACAAGTCTACTCATTTCAAGCAATACTGTACCTGAAAGAACATGGCATTTTTCTGAATTTCATCATAATTAGAAACGGCACTGGTCCTATCCATGAAGTGGTTGAAATCCTTCATCATAATGTTTTTGATGATTTCTGGACTTTTGATAACCAAATATGGGACATCGAAGATAAATACTCCAAAGTATGGGACGTCATCGAACTCTCTGTGTAGTTTCATCAACCACTCTCCAGTATGTTCTTTGAAGAATAAAACACTTGCAAAGTTGCCAAGGAACGGGGTTGGTTTTATGTGTTTGACACCACGTTTTGTAAAAACGTAGAAGTTCCTAGTATAGTATTTGTAGGTCAAAAATGATATTGTGATCAGGACAATTAGTAGGTCTGCTAACCAAGAAGACGTCAACAGCATCTGAAAAAGGTAATACGGTGTCGGAATACATAGGATAATTCGATTCCTACTGATTGTGAATTACGAAAAAAACATTTGGGCTAGAAGTTCGAGCCCGGAGCTTTACGTGGTTGTTGAAAATGTATTAGAAATTGTTTGGTATTACAAGTAAGACGTCACCAGAGGTGCTACGGTAAGCAAATTAATGACCGCGATATCTTGCAGTAAGCGACAGATATTGGGCAGAATGAAGTTAATCACCAAACAAACCAGGTGTTTTTTTTAAGAGCGTAAAAGCACAAGCAAAGCATTATATTTTAAAATTGATACAACTGTGCTGTTACTTGAAGCCATAGGTTTTATTGTTTCACTATCAACCGGAGAAATCATTATTATTGATCTCAACGCCTTATTGAGAGGTAGCATTTATCTTCAAAGGTGAATAATGAAAACAAAAAGTAAATAATAATTCCATTTGAAATTATTACATGTCAATTTCATTGTGCCAGTTTCATAACTTATATTCCGAAATACTTAACAGAAAAATAGGTTTGCACCTCAACCCCCCCCCCCCCCCCCCTTTAAGTGTCAGTTTTGAGCCAAGTAACTAGATATTTTCAAGCATTTGTAAAATGAGCAGGAAAGGTAATCTAATATTATGTGATATATTGTGTTAGAGCCGTTTTACACACAAGAGAATTACTCCGAAAATTATGGTCATAATTATACCGAAAATTTTTGCTGTCTTATTACACGTAAAAGAATTCTTGTGAAAATTTTCATGGTAAAAATATAAAACCCGTTCTATAAAATATGCGCGAGAATCGGCGCAGAGGGTTATTTCCGTGCATGTCATATCAAATGTCAATGACAACAACAACAACATAACCTCACTTAACATTTGTGGGAGTGGTCCTGTTCGAGTCGTAGGAAGGAGCGTTTATTGTTATTGTTTATTCATAATGTTGTGGAATCGGGAAGAATTTACACTGTTGTTGGAGGAGTACCAAAAATGGCCAAACCTGTACAAGGTGAAGTCACCCAATTACAAAAACAGAAATTTGCGGCGTCAGGCGCTGGATGCGATAGTCTAAGCATTGAGAAGTTTTATAATATTAACCAAGATCTCGATTTCAAAAATAAATTTAAATCATCGACGTCTGTTGTCTTTCCGATTATATTGGACGTCATACCCGTTAAGGTTATGTCCATTCGAAAATATTACTCTAATGCGCAGGCGTATCATATGAATTACTCCGAAATTTTGTTTGCTTGTGTCATACAGGTTGTAGAGAAAATCTTCAATATTTTTTCCATGCAAATTTTCAGCATAATTATGACCATAATTTTCGGAGTAATTCTCTTGTGTGTAAAACGGCTCTTAGAAGTGAAAATAATTATTATTGGTCTCGCACCCGCCTCAGGTTACAAGTTTTCGCCCAATATAGATAATATTATTTCAATATAGAACTCACCTTATTAGTATGTATAACGCCCAGTGAATAAATACTTCAATCAGTAATCTCAAAATGTTTTCTGTTTATCAATGGGTAGATTAGCATGCACTATCAAAATTTAGTGAAGATATCTATTTATATTAAATAGTTATTATTTAAAAAGATGTAAACTTTAATAATCATCATTACTTTACAAAAATACTGTTGGTGTAGTATAGTTCGGGCAGTTTAGCTATAGAAAACCAGTCTTTTCAGGAATCGTGCTTATATGAACTTTCTTATTTATTAGTCTAATCATATTAGACGAAAATACCCTTGGTTTGCGAAATAATTGTACAGTCTGGTTTTATTGGTGCAAGTCGTTAAAGGGGGCTATTCAAAACATGGACGCATAAAATGGGTGCACCAATTTTTATGGGCAAACTTTTTATTCGACATCAAATAATGAGAAAACGTGTCTTTTGGGATTCAATCGAAAGTATTGGCAGGAACGAAAAAACTCTTCATACAAGATGTTTAGGTATTTATGAAACCCACAAAATGAGACCACACTTTAAAAGATCCGACTAATAGCAAGATAGTTATGGCTGAAAACCGAGGCAAACTGCAGGTTTTGACACTTGTTGGTAATGCGACTATGGTTTCTCGCAGATATTTGAAATTTTTCAAATTCGTAGAATTCGTGCTTCTAAATAACCACAACAAAATTGGAGTAGATTGCTCAAGTAGTTTTTGAAAATTCCTAATTGCTTAGCCCAAAACACCTGTTTTCCGGCCATCACTACTAGTTTATTGAGCAATATACAGGATTCAAAGGGCATTTTATAGCAAAATACACTAGTTAGCCTTGCCAATATGAATCGCAAACCTTTCCGGAAAATAAATATTATTTTTATGCAAAAAGGATGCGTTACGTTTTTTCTTCTAAACAAATTCAAACATCTCGTATTTGTGAGTAATTCGCAACAAAAGATGATAAACACATCCGCTTTATTTTAAAATTTGTATAGTGATGGCCGAAAAACAGGTGTTTTGGGATAAACAATTAGAAATTCTCAAAAAACTACTTGACCAATATACTCCAATTTTGTCGTTGTTATTTAGAAGTATGAATCCTATTACGGATTTGAAGAATTTCAAGTAGTTGCGTGAAATTATCGTCGCATTACCAACAAGTGCCAAAATCTGCATTTTGCCTAGATTTTCGACCAAAACATTTTTGCTATTAGTCGGATCTTTTCATGTGTGGTCTCATTGGCCCTAATGAATAATAAATGTAGGAATTGATTTGTCTTACAAAATTGAAGGAAAAGCTTAAAAACCTATGAATAAAAATCTGAGAAATTGCTTTTACCTTCAGCAATTGCTTAAAGTTGCAGCAATTGCTTTTAGATAAAGCTTTTTCTTAAAAAACTCCAGATATTGCTTAAACATGCTTAGAATGGGATGAATAAAACGCGCAATTGCTTTTTCTAGTGTAGTAATTGCTATTAGATATTTAAAGTAGGTCGATCCCAGCTTGCATTTGCTTTTAGTGAAATTTTATTCGTTCTACTACATATACGGATTGTTTTTACTGATTTGGAATTTGGTAGTAATGGCCGAATATATGAATAATCGTGTAAAAAGGTAAACAGTGTACGTAAAGAGTGCCGAGACAATGATTTCCGAAAACTATATCGGTTTAATCACGAAAATGTGGATTGGTTAGCGCATTATGGTTTGGCTGACAGCGGTGAAAAGCGAGGAGGAGCATTATCAGCTGTGAATAAAATGAAAATTTTTCTGCGTCAGTTGTCAGACCCTGGCTTTCAAAATGCCGTTGCTGAAGAGCTTGGTGTTCACCAGACTACTGTTTGTAAAACATATACTTCCGTCCTGAACGCCGTTTTGGAGAAGGCCAACATTTGGATTAAATTCCCCAAAAGTGCTGAAGACTTTATGGATGCTAAACAACTGTGGTCGGAGAGATACCGTTTCCCAAATTCTATCGGCGCAATAGAAACAGGAAAGGATATCCTAGCATCAACATACAGGCAACTTGCAATGCCAAAGAAATATTTACAAGTGTAGACTGTCAATGGCCAGGCTCTGTACATGACAGCAGAATATTTAAAAATTCCAATATATTCAACATTCTTAAAAACAGCACCGAAGAATGTGTATTATTAGGGGATATTCTATATCCCCTTGGATTATGACTCCCTCGAGAAATCCAACAACCCCAGAACAGCAACATTATAATAACGTTTTTTGTCGAGGACAAGTAGTAATTGAACGATGCTTTGGGCAATTAAAAGCAAGATTTCCTGTTCTACAGTATAAAATCCGGAATAAATTAGAAAAAATACCATCGACAATAATTTCCATAACATAGCTAAATGTTTAAATGATAAAGATTTTGATTACGTGCATCGGGAAGCTGATGTTGAAATTAACTTAGACACTGTCAATTTAAATACAAATTTAATTCGTCAATTAGGCCAACAAAAAAGGCAAATAGTGACTGAAATGCTCTTCAATTGTCATGTAAGTAACAACTGGTACTTATATTACGTGTAGGTACACAATTAAAACAAATCAGAAATACTATACCGTTATTAAACAAATGGAAACAGAACAATATAATTCTTAGGTACCTACATTCAACTTAAATTCAGATTTTATTAATGTTTGATACTCGATGTAAACCCAAATTAAAAATTAAACCCTAAATTAAATAATTAATAATAATTACAAGTTGTAATCCATTTTTTTCTCCGAAAGACTACTGTTTGGCATAAAGTTACCATCACCATGCTTCTGTCTCTTAATGATTTCTTCTTGTTGCATTCGACATAATTTCAACTGCTCTAATAGAACTAATCGCTGCAACTCAGCAGTTGATAATTTTTGGGTTTATTCAGTTTCTAGTAAATGTGACATCTCAATTTTTTTTGAGGGAATAGTAATTTCTTTTGCACTTGAGGGGGCCAGAGTGTCACTGATGGCCGAGGTGGAGGATTCAGCAAGTGTTATGATTTCGTTGGCTCCAACAGAGACAGCACCTGAATGATTTATTTTGATGTTTAAAAAAACCTACGTTACAATAAAGTTTAATTTGCTTCACCTGGTATTTTTTTGAAGATGGGATTCTTATGTACTTCCAACATTTCGATTAACAACTTTTCCCAAGACTTATAGATTATAGCTTTATTGCCTGTCTTATTAATATCAAATTTCTTCTTTATTTCGGTCTTCATATTACTTATTTCTTTAGCTAACTGCTTTGTTGTAAGTGTCGCGTTAAAAATATCTTTATATTGTTGTACCAAAATTTTTAAAGTGGCCTCCTTTTCTATTTTAACTTGTGGAACAAGCGATTTATTAAGAACGATTTTATGTTCTTTTAATTTATGCACAAATAACAACTGCTTATCCATTTCTTCCTCATCATGGGATTCGTCACTTCCACTTGAATCAGCCATAATTTTGACTGCCTTTTATTTTTTACCGAAAAATATGTTCCTAATCCCACCTACTTAGTTATGCCGAATGTAAGAAACTCGGAACTAATCTGAAATACAAACGCGTTGAACACATACATATATAAGCAATTGCTTTTAAGATTTGGAAAATGCAGCGTTTGCTTAAAAATATTATTCATTGCAAAATTTAGCAATTGCTTTTCCTTACAGCAATTGCTTGTTAAGCAATTGCTTAAAGTAATTGCTTAGTTTTCATTCATTAGGATCATTTTGTAGGTCTCATAAATACCTAAAAATCTTGAATGAAAAGTTTTTTCGTTCCTGTCAACACTTTCGATTGAATCCCAAAAAACACATTTTCTCATTCTTTGTTGTCAAATAAAAAGTTTTCTCACAAAAATTAGTGTACCCATTTTATGCGTCCATGTTTTAAATGCCCCCTTGAACAACTTGCACCAATAAAACCAGACTTTACAATTATTTCGGGGAACATTGCTAATATGATTAGACTATAAATTTGGCTCAGGAATGCGTACGACCTATCATTAAGTAACATCATGTATAAATAACTATTACTTCTCAGGTCAATAACTACTGCAAGCGAGAAAAATGAGGGATTATGGATATTATACATATTTAATTTCAAAATGTTTGCTACTGGGCGAAAAATTATTGTAATCGCGGAAAATTTGAAATGAAGTATAATGCTTTTTGGGATGTTATATGACATGTACATCACGAAAAAACAATGTCACTCAGTTCCAGTTACTACAATGCAAAGGACGAAAAGCTCTGCGGTTTTCGAAAATTGGACTAGTGGCGGCGAAGGGAAAGGCCAACACGGAAATAAAAAAAAAACGTCGTTTATCACGTTTCAAAGGATCCTGATCATTTTTGATAAAAATTTAGGAGGAAAAAATTAAGGGGTGAGGGGTTGTAGAGGGATAGGCGAGGGTATATTTCATTTTCAGATGTTAATATATTTATGCGCTCCCTACCCCAGTGATTATACGCACCTATTAGCCCTAATTCACACATCTTAGGAATACCCTCACATTTACCGTTAAAACTGAGAATACAGAAATGTTTTGGATATGCGACTCCTTTTGCTATCTGAGTTCAGCGCCTGCCGTAGCAGTCTGCTTGATTGTGCTGCTTGTACTGCGGCGGTGCTTCGGTGGACGCGTCCGCGTGTGTACGGCACTATTGCCAGACGGTCGGTAACTACTAATTGTACTGAACTTAATCCTTTATGAACTTTATTTGAGGCCAATGTTTCCTGGGTTATCATATCCATATACTCCTAAAATCGAGCAATCATTGCAATTAATCAATGTATACAGTGATATCAGAATGTCTTACTGTAGCGGATTGCTGCGCAGATACTATTTTGAGTAGACGGTTTGCAATTGGACATAGTATACAGGGTAAATTTTTAGTGTGCTTATGTGTCTGTGTGTGCGTCGGTTAGTTGTAAATTATGTCGGCCTATACAGGGTGAGTCATAACTACGTGAAAACACATAAATGCATTGGAAAACGCTGGCATATTATTTTCAAATGAGAGAGGGGATAGAGAGATCTCAGAAATCTTGTGATTTAACCACTCAATGTTTATTCCAAAGTAACCACGTTAAAATAACGATATGCTTTGAGATATCATTATTTGTCGACAATTTTTATAGTCTATCTTCAAAAGTGACTGACTTACAAGTCGTCAAAGTAGAGTTTTATCGGAATAAATTCCGTAGCTCCTAAAATATGCTATTTTTAACTTCTAAGCAAATTTCCTATGTAACGAGCATATACGAGGAGCACGCTGTATATTTTGAGATGCGCATTAACTATACTAGTTATAACCGGCAACAGTGCACTATTAGAAAAAGCAGTTCTTTATTAGTAAGTCGCCGCATTCAATGCATTTGGAAGCGTCTTACAGTGCACGTGGTGTAAACAAATTTAAGCCGAAACATGGAGTTGTCTCGAGAGAGTTATCGCACTATGATTTACTATCACCTTAAAGTCGATTTAACTTAACATCAATGTATCGAACGGTTACAACAAGAATTTGGTAATGAAGATCCGTCCCGGACAAGTGTGTTCGCTGATACGCCGAATTTAAAAGAGTTCGCGTGTCATTAGCTGATGAAGAACGTAGTTGGTAGACCATGTTCTAGTGTGACTCCAGAAAGCATTGCTAAAGTTCAGCGGCTAATTGAAGAAGATTCTCGCTGCACATATGCGACTACACAACAGTGCACACCATTTTGCATGGTCATCTTCGTTCAAAAAAAGTTGTTGCAAATCCTCCATCACAACAATGCCTCTAGCCACACTGCCGAACTAACTTTTGACGCCAGCGCCACATCAAAATGCTAGAACATCCGCCTTCTTCGCCAGATTAGAAAATGTGTGACTTCTGGCTCTTCAACAATTTGAAAAAAAAATTGCGTGGTCGAAAATTTTCATCCGAAGGGGAAATCGATCAAGCAATCAATCAGTTTGATGAAGGCATCCCAAAAACTGACTGGTTAGAAGCATTTGATTTGTGGAAGGTCAGGCTACAGAAGTTCATTGATGCTGAATGAGCATACTCTGAAGGTAAATAAATGAGTTTTCGAAAAATAGTTCTTAGTTTTCGTTTATCTCAAAATATATAGCGTGGCCCTCCTATGTGCCTATAATTATTGTAACTTTCTTGTCTCTTCTACAATAACGGATCGACCACTAAGGCCCGTATCGTCAGTCGTCCCTACAACTGTAGGGCGCCTTTATGGCCTCCTTGATTGTCATAGTTTTCTACTTCTCCGTGTCAGAACTCTATTTTGAGGTTATGTCACAAACATCTATTTGCATCAAATTGTGCTTGTTTTTGAGTTATATCATGTTTTATCAGCCTGAAATTTCCTACAATTTAAAAAGAAAACATATCTTCACAATAGGAGAGGGCTGACGCTGACACGGGCCAAGTGTAATCTAGAAATTTTTGAAGGAGAGAAAGGAGGATGACAATCAAGGAGGCCATAAACGCGCCCTACAATTGTAGGGACGACTGACGATACGGGCCTTAAAACTCGACCTACATAGTATGTACGTATAATAATACATTGATGCCCATACGGTATATTACTACGACTATTACACAGCTTTAACATCAAAGCAAGTAGATATAGTAAAACTATTTTGGTGATGGTGGTCTAGTGGCGGGACCCAACAGCTAGTGTCTTTATACGTAATATCCTTCAGTATCAAGTCTGATCCAATCATCGAATTCCAACCATGTAGAAGGAGCCACTCAAGGATTAACTTGTCTCCTTATCCTCAGTCTGGAGGAGGATCAATTTGTACTTGACGTATGTTGTACGAGTGTGAGTCTTTGCAAGTAATTGTGGATTTAAGACTTGCTACTTCTTATGCAGGATGTTCATTTGAAAACTCTACCCACGGATCTATCGAAAACCACTGAATAAAAGAAAAAACGCGGAGACACGTTAAAACATTTGTCAAGTTATTGGCCAAACAATGATATAGGCGATGCTCAAATTCCTGACGGACATTTTCAGAAAATAAACACAATAGATGTCAAATGGCCACATAGAAAAAAGTCTAATGGTGTCAAATCAGGAGATCTAGCACGTCATTCAATAGGCCCTCTTCGTTCTATACATTACATTTATCTTTAAACTCGTCGTCTAGCCATTGCCGAACCGGAAGAACGTAGTGAAGAAGAGCGCCGCCTTGCTGAAATACATTTCAGCCTCATCAAGTATAGGGTTTCCATCCTCTTCGATTTGGTTTTCACTGGTTTCAGTGATAAGCGGATTGATGGTATTTTCCATACATATCCAAATAAATGTCTCCATTCAAATTTCAATTAATAAACAATGGCCCAGTCACTTCGTTTCCTAAAATCCCTCTTCATACATTATTTTTTTGGGGGTACTTGGGATGAAATTTATGGAGTTTAGTAACTATGTGTGCAGAGCCTGATGAAATACCAGTCGCGGCAACAATTTTGCGTAATGAAGTATTAGGATTTATTCCAAAATGACCCAAAACTTCAACATGAGAGGCTTCATCCAAATCGCCCCGATTAGCACTTTTTTTATTTGCAACAGATCCACTTGAGTAAATTTGGTAACAAGGTCCAAAACATACCTATGCGAAGTTATCTTCCCTGGACGTCTCAGGTTAAACATGGCAGCAGTTTGCCGAGCACATTGATTTTGGGCACCATTAATTAGAATCATTTCCACTCTTTCGGCTAGTGTGCAGTCCATTTTGGAAGAAAAATCTGAATCAATAAATTATTTTTCACTATCCTAAGATTGTCATAAAGGTAACTGACAGCAAATTAAATTCTTTCATTCCCTTAGCAACAAATAACTGAACAGGTATAACAATGAATACAGTTCGTCCAGGATATCTGTTTTGATGAAAGGAATGCGAAAAAAATGTAGGATGTTATTTGGTTGTTGCCACGTCTAATCTTCCAAATTGCTGTTTATGTTGGTAGTTTCCGTTTTCAATTATAAACGAATTGTACATTTGGAAAGCCCTAACGGGCAACATTTTGAACACTTATTGAGATAAAAAGTGATATGTTCGTGTGTTTTTGTTTTCTATTCGAACAAATTAAGATAAGTAAAGATTTTTCTAATTTTTTCGAAAACAAATCGACTGATTTTAAAAAATCAAACGTCAAAATAAAGGATTTGGAAAGACCTTTCAAACAAGCTGCTACTCGGTACCCCTTGTCATATAAAATTGTTAAAGGAATGACGGGGGGGGGGTTAAGGGTGAAAGGGTGGAGTAGTTTTCAGTTAAAAAGTTGTCCCACTTGACAAAATTTTTGGGCGTGTCTCGGCGTTTTTTCTTTCATTCAGTGGTTTACGATAAATCCGTGGTGGTAAGTTTTCAAATGAACACCCTGTATAATTTGCAAAGAGCAAGCAGCACAAGCTTAACGAAGGTGGATATTTTCACCGGTAAGTCTTATTTTCATGTTGATACAATGCTGGCATTAGTAGACAAATGAGTCAAAAGTATGCACTAGAACTACGCAATTTTGGCGACAAATATAAACATATAGGCTTATCTCATTCTAATCTATCTAATCAGTTCATGCAGCAGCGGTGGCGTACTGGTAGACGTTATGGATCGCCTCATCAGTCGCCGTGCGCTGCGCGGGTTCAAATCCCGTCCTAAGATAATTTTTCCCTTGGCTATGGATGATCTGATTGTCCGTAGGTGTTAGACGGTCTCTGATTGTAGAGCGCGGAGGTACCACCCGGCGGATCTCTGAGACGGGGCCAGAATGTGCGCATGATGCATGCACGAGTGTTGCCTCGCTAGAGTCGGTGTGGCGTCCTCCCTTTCCTCTATACCGCCATACAGTACCCAATGGGTGTTTCGGTCTCAGGCATTCGTGGTGATTCAAGTATAAAAAAAAAGCCGGAGCGTAGGAACTTCCTTGCTTACTGGAGCCCCGAAGTGTGAAAAAATGCGTGTTATTCACAATATCACGCACGTTTCTAAGCCGTACGTCAAACTATAGTTTCTCCACTGCAATAGCTGTAAGAAGCTTTTTGAAATTAAATGCGATTAAATTATGATTTCTATGAGACTAAGATTGTCATGCTTAGTTCTGTTTCCAGAGGCTGAAAATCTCGAAATGCTAAAATCATTTTTAGCTATAAGTGATGCAACAAATTTTTTTCAGAGAAAATAGTGGCAAGTAGATTCACATACGCCTATTTTAAAATTTTTAATTTTGAGCTCCATGACGATGTTTTTGACTACTCTTAAACCTCAAATAATAAGAAATTTTCTAAAATTATAGTCACTCCCAAAAACTCTTGATAACTTTTAAAAATCTTCAGACGGTTGTAAAGAATAGAATATAAACCTTTGGATGACCTACACCTGTTTTATTTCGCTCGTAATACCGCTGTCACTTGAAGGATGCAGCTTTTTCCGACATTGCTAGAATAAAATATCGACAAAATACTGACAGGCCGATGGAAATAAGCGATATGGACGTGCGTGTTGTAGACATCGCAAAACAAAAGCTCTAAAATATCTGTTGTTGCAATACTTCTCTTCGTGACTATGCAAAACGCTATTTTTTATTATTTTGTAGAAAATCTTTGCCTCAAACTTTACTCTTCATGGGATTTTTCACAATTGGAAAGGAGTAAGCGACGTCACTCTCAAAACTATCTGTCATTTCGTAGAAAACGTATAAACATGACTGATATTTGCTAAAATAAAAGATATACTATTGTTTGCAAGATTGTATCCAACGATGTAGATGTATCCACGAATTTTTCGTGAAGTTCGTATTTCATGACTGATTAACCATGTAATCGCGGATGCAATCTATTCCTAATTAACCCACTTTCTTCTTTCTATCCTGAATAAGCTACTGCGAGATGCATCGCAGTTCTCTCGCTACAGAATACAAAGAGTCGTTTAAAAGCCTTTTTAATCTGATCA